CCTCGTCATTGCAGAGACGACGAAGAAGGAACCCTCCCTAGGCAAATATAATATCCACATACCATTCAACCGGACTTTGGGGTCTGTATAACCACAAACACGCGGCAAGTGAACTAGCCTAAGTTAATCTTTTCCACCCATTTAAAGCCGCAGGAAGAAATCCCCATTGAAAGATCATCTTGGTATCAACCACAATGATAGGCTCTGCAGGTCTATCCTCAAGCGACAAAGAGCCGGCTGCAGCCAATTACTTGCTTGGCTTGCGGTGGATAGACCGGCACCGGTGTCGGGAGTGAACTTAATTTATATTACTGATACTGAGTTCAGCGGATATGCGTTTAACGCAATAACTTCACTGGGTTACTTACATGGAAAGAGGCGCTGATTCTAGACGAACGGATCAGACCACACTCACACTTACATGCATCCCTAAGTGCTAGGGTAGGTAGATCTATGAATATCTGGAACGCACGCCCCCAAATGAATCGATCCTACAGCATGGGGGCAGCCCCGGAGATCAGACGCCTCTAGGAAAATTACAAATATAGACGCGCGTATGGTCAACGGAGGCTTGAAAATCCGGGGAAGTGTCGGGAAGAAGCTATCCGGAAAAAGATAGGTGTCTGTGCAGTCAAAACCATGATACTGCTCCAAGAGTGGGGTGTAGGATGTGGATATGTTCTGGCTCAGCTATCGTTCTGGGATTTTGGTCAATCCAGGTTTAGTTTTGTTGTGATACCAGTAATGGCCAACATATAGCTCATTATATGGTAGGATGAAGCGAGGTAAGATTCAATCGACGTGGCTTGGATCGAGGTTTGAACCATCTTCTATAGCTACATGTATGTACTCTTGGTCTTTTTTTTGGCTCCCAGTACTGAGATGCTTCATCGTAGATACCTTGAAGCCATGGACTACTAGCTACATGTAGCTCTATGTAAATCCCCTCAAAATTTCGAAAATTGATCTGGACCGCGAAGGTAGCCGTCGACATCCACTTCTACTTCAATTTTGAGCACACATTGTACCCTCTTGGCGTTATTCAAAAATGGTCCGAGACGACGTAAGTACTGTGGGTTTGTGGGTATCTAAATAAATCGAATATAGACACTATCGATCTGAGTAAAGAACAAGATATGTTCCTATTGGTCGAATCTTACCCCCCAAGATTGCTATCTACACATATGCGTGTCCACGATAGGTGAGTTGCTGGACGTGATATGTGTTATCTTAACCATATTTTCTTTTTGACCTAAGTTCTTAGCCTGTACTGTCACAGGAGTAGGTATCGATATATGGATGTGTTTATATGATTTAAGTGAACATAGCCGGTTTTGATTTACACTCTTTACGAGAATTGTGTGAATTAGTAGAATCTTTCACCAAGTATGTGATCATAGCTTTATCATGAAAAAAAGAGCTGGTTACATTAAACTGGCCGCCAATCTCACTAGAAAAGAAACTACATATTTTGTAGAGTATATGTAGACTCCTTACTAAGAGCTGCGTTAGTTGCTGCGGTCAGTACGTACTTATGCAAGGGATGAACGAACCACCTAGAGTGCCCAGGTTGCCCCTGCGACAATATGTCACGATACATAACAGTGCATTTGCACTGCATAAACTAGAAAGAAGAGTAGATGTAGTGCTTATAAGCTAGGGAGCGATAGTTATTACCGCTATGATAAGGAGACGGGATACTTATTACCCCATGCACTGTAGTCTCGGGGGTCGTCGATGCGGTTACCAGGAACCCCCTTACCCCAAAATTCACCTCCTTATAGACCCTCGACTGAGTTACTTCCTTGTACCGTCTCAAGGCGAAGGTCCCTAGGCATTAAGGCGGTAAGAAGTCCTTAGGATTATAAGACGTCGTGTACACAAGTATCAAACGTATGCTATAAGTCGAGAATGTTGGTACTTGTAATTGCTCCCATAACTCTGCGCAGAACCGACCTATTAACTGAGGCGCTGCGGGCAGGGCTCTCGGTGAGTCGAGGTTGAACTTGAAACCCTGGACAGTGGAGCCAATGTGACACGAACGGGGCGGGACGACCCCAGTTATCGGAGAGAGTAGCGGAGTGAGTAACGTCGCAGAGAGCAGCACGTCGCGAATACGGCAGAGCAATGTCTCAACCAAGGAAGCGGCACAACACTCGAAGGTCGTTTTCAGTACTGCACACTTATGTAAGCCCCTGCGCACTGCAGTCGAGTCATCCTCACCAACGTTAAATTGCCCAGAGACAATGATGATCATTACTGTCACTCGGAGTAGGTTTACTATGTAGCTACATGTAGGTGCTATCGCTAGTGTTGATGCGTCTAAACATTTTAAGGAACGGGTCCGCCAGTTCTATATTTACTAATCGACACCTACGATACATGGGGACAGTGGCCGTGGGTAAATAATCAACCATGGTATGCATCTGTATTTAATTTGTGTTAATATTCTGAAGCCATGAATGAATTGAAGATAAGGGTAGTATACAGGGATATTATTCCTTGTCAAATACATGTATGTACTTTAGGAGTTGATCCTCATGCACCAGAGAGGGGTTAGTTATAGATTCGACCGATTTATTGGGGAAAAGCCGGGTCGGTTCAGTTACTTCATTGGTATATGTAATTGACATACAGCCTAATAAAGTACCTACATGTACCGATAGATCTTATGTTACATCTATCTGTGTTTTTGGGTGTTGATTTACGAGATGTGCGCTGCGACCTTGCTTTATCGTTTTGACCCAATATCACCTTCAACGCCTCCGTCATTCCAGGAATTGAAGAGAATATTATGTCGTTCTAAGAACGTTTACAATCTCTGCAATTCTCCTTTATACATACATTTGCCTACAACAATTATAACAAGCCATAACGGAAGATATATACTAGCAGTCCCTCCCCCACAATACCGTTCTATAAATAACTACCACACATAAAATCTAATAGACTATATCAGATCTAGCAGCATCAGCTATTCAATTTTACTCAATTAATTACGACGGCGACCGGTCGACAACAGAACAGATTCAAAGTGTTCTACCAAACCAATTCCGCCTAAAGTTCAACTAGTGGCGCATGGCAAGCAGCAAATCGATGATGAACCTGGAAAAATGTATCTAAGCTGATCAGATTGCCTTTAATCCTACATTTCTCTGACTTCCAGCAAAACATTGCTCGAGTTCTTGACGGGCGCGCCTTGAGAACTGATAAGACTAAGTTCTCTCCACTCTTATGAGGGTCCTAGTGACTAGCCTTATGATTATCTCCAAGATTGTACTTAATTTTTAGGACATATATCATGCAAGATCCAGTCTCTTTCCCAAAACTTTAGGCACAGTTCATTTGTAAGGGTTAATACTAGACCAAGGTGGTAATGACAGCTATTAAAAGCCATAGTGGTTCTCAATACTCGAAATCACGCAACGTGCGTAACAACTGCAGTTCAAAAGTGATACCTGTGAATCGTCTCCGGTGAGAAGTTTACACCAATCGGGGGCGATTTTCTCTTCGTAAAGAGGACTCAAAATTAGTTTTATGCAGAGCTAAAGATACCCCCACAACTCATGTAAGAATTGATACTTTGCCATATAAGCTCTTAGGGTAATTCTTTTCATCCCCTTAAATAACACAATGGGTAAAAGCATTATAAAGACTTTTTGGTTTGTTTCGTCGTGCGCCAATCCGACAACCTGACCAAGATCCAACTATATAAATCTTCTCTCAAGGTACTTTTCTCTATAGCTAAATTATATCTATTTTGTTGTAACAGATATCGGAAATCGGAATGTTGCCATTATCCAAATTTTCATGGCATGTGATTATACTAATTTATAGGTGAACGGAAACAATGATTTGATATGAGGTAAATCTAGGAATAAGGAGGGCAGTTGATCTCGCTCGCAACACAAAGTCACGATACCGGAGCGCTCCTATAGTTTCAGTTGGTTCGGAAGTCACATTGCCTAAAAGGTAGGTGGTGTAGGGATGTATTGAGTTATTTGCTCCGTTATTGTTTTATGTTATAATAGATGAAGAGCTGACCACGTGTTATCACACAACTGCCTGTCAAGTCCTCTCCCTATCTTCTTGATAGATCTTGAGCCAGAGGTCATTCAATCATGGAATGTCACTCGTACCAAGCCAAGCAGGGCAAGGTTGAGGCCCGGTTTAGATGCTTACTCGGGGATTTTTTTTTTTTGTTTAATTCATTAATTGTATTCAGACCGTAGTCTATGACAATATCACACTGTGCTTACTCGGGGATAACATCAGTGATTGATGTGTTCAGGGCGTACAAACATCTGAAGAATATCGACCATTGATCGTCATACCTCCGAAAATATTATGATAGATATCTGATCAATTGAACCTCCTGCAGTTAGATTTTAGCCACTTCTTGCAGGCTCGATTGATTTATTGATTGATAATTCATTAATTACTTCTTCTTCTTGCAGGCTCGGCAGAGCTATGCTAACTATCCATACTAGTAACAAGCGTATTGTTGGACCTAAGCTTACCATCGATGGTTAACTTAATTCCATAAGTATTTGTCGGGCTGCTTACCACCGGCTGTAATGAAAAGATTACCAAAGAGTACATAGAAAATTAAACAGAGAACAAAGATTTCTGCGAATGGATTTCGCTAAATTCCAATACTCCAAATGGGTTTGATACGTATATATGCCGCGCGCGATATACGCCCAGGAACGCCATTAATCAAGACACATGCACAGGTTTTGTGTGATTGAGTAGTTCGTATACACAATAGTAAGTGCATAGGCCTCGCCAGCTGGAGACGAGAACCGCACTGTCCGCCAACCGGAGTGCAATGGCTGTGTATTGGTGAACAATCATCTAGATAAGATCTGCCCGTCCCAACCAAGAGCCCCTCTTAACCGCACATTAGTCCTCTTACTCAGACTTGATCCAACACCTCAGTCCTCCACACTTCCACAATCTTGCTTGCCCTTCAACCACCCCATCAACTCCAAAACAAAATGCACCAGCAGTCAGCAGATTCAACTTGCCCAACAACGGGTCAGGTCGAAGCTTTCAAACTAATGCACCTCCCCATCGACTTACTATACTGTATCTTCTCCGAGTTCGTGAAAAGCAACTGTCCGAACCTGGCCTCCATGAAGAGTTCTGGAACTATTCCGCAAGGAACAGAGGAATGCGGTTACCATAAAGACTCCAGCTTGATCAATGATACCTTGAGGCAAGAAGAAAAGCTGATCATTCCACTCCTTAGAGTTTCAAAGCTTTTTTGTCGCATTACTCTGGGGTATATGCTTGGTCCATCCGCATACATCCTCGGGTTTAAAGGATTAGAGGTCCAATACAAGAGACGGAACATGTTGGATTCCCTGGAATCCTCAGTCATGGTTCCTACCGCGCCACATGTGAGGATGCGCGAACCAATCCCAATGGAGCGCCAGGAAATCGACCCCGAATTCCCTTTTTTAAATCTAGTTCAGACCTTGATTATTGGACCTCGACCACAAAGAGGGACAATAGCACAAGATTTCTATTTCGGGGCTGAACCACCTACCCGCCTTATGAAGGCAATTCTGGGGGCGCTGGGAGAGGATCCTCAATTGAGGAAACTCATTATATCAGGCGACGCTCTGAGTAAGTAAATTCAATGCATTCACCAGCTAAGAAAAATGATTAATAAATTTGACAGGAAACCTGTTTTGGATGATGCCAATGCCAGTTGGGGGCGGGAGCCCTCTTGGAAAGTTGACTCATTTGACCCTTTCAATATCAGCATTGCAGTCGAAGGATCCATTCCTTTCAGCCAAACACATCTTGGTTACGCCGAGTGACGCACATCTATGTGTTCTTTTGACTAGAAATGATCCAGGTGGTGGAACCATGGAGGGAATTGAGGCCCCCTTTCTGAACACCTTGAAATACCTCCACATACGTGGACCAGGAGCACACGTGTGCTCAGAACTTTTCAAAACAAAGGGAAAAGCTCTCGAAAAGATAATCATCGAGATGGGTGAACGTCGTGGGTTATGTGACGCCAATATGGACCAATTGATTCTTCATGCGGCAACCACCGCGTCAAACCACCCTGAGATGTCAATCTCAATAGTCTGGTGTTCGGAAAGTTTAACCACTAGTCGCCAGACCGACAACATAATTTTCAAGAAGAGCCCCGGGGCTTTAAATGCAGATGGTACCAGGAATTGGCCCCTGGTGATTTCTAGTTCCCTCTACCACCCACCGAATCATCCCATGAGAAGGGAGAGAAGATGCGCCGCTTTTGTCATAAGAAGTCAGGACCAACGGAGCAGGGCTTTGGTCTGTGATAAAAACTGGAAACTTGCCGAAGAAGACAGCAAACTGGCGGCAGACCCTATGGAAGAGGAGCTGGAGTTTGAAGAACTCGCGACGAAACGTCTCCAAAAGCTTGCCGAAGATCAGTGGGCCCAATATCAGTCGAATATACCTTATTATCTCTGCTGAGTGGTTGGCCCGGACGCGATATTCAACATTGTCCATCGATTGCTGTTTTGGGATCGCCCCATCCCAATTTGAAGTTAATGAAAATGTCCTTTGCCTCGCGATCGTAAGTCTGGTGCGAAATTTTGATTTGGGGAGTCTTCTGACTGGTTGTAAATATTGTTAGATACCATGGCGAGAAGAATGAATGTCTGTCCGTACTTGTAGCCTCTGAAGAAGTCTTTGTAATGGAGTGAATGGGAGAAGAAGGAGTGACAAAAAACATGGCAAGGATAATCTCGCTTAGCTAGAACTCATTGACGGCCTTGGCAACATCAAATTACGTCATACCAATGTTAAATCTTGAATAAGCAGAATTGTCCCTAGGCTTCTCTTATGGCCGGTGAATATCGTAAAGACTTTTAAACTATTCATGGAGACTATTTAAGGTCTTAAAACTTAAACGATGGCAACATCCAAGCGACGGGCCAGACAGAAATGGCGATAAATGAATTAAGTGCCGAATTATCAGGGCGCTTCATGAGCAGAAAATTGTGCCTGCGTGCGCAGCACGACTGGCCCCATAATAATAAGCCGATAGACCTAGGAAGATGATATTCCGTCTTCGTATAAAACTACATGTAACGATGGAGGCTTAAGAAATTTTGTGGTCTCGTGTCTGGAGAAAAGTCTTTTATTGACCGTGACAATTGCAAAGCTTGACTGAACGTAATTGACAAGGTGGTGTCGAGTTTACGGTTTAAATAGCAACTAGCCCCACTCATTGAGTAGCGCTGCTGCAATCACAAAATCTATGGCTTTTAAATTACGGGATGACAGACTTCGTGAGAGGGACACCATTTGCGAAGAGGGCAGACTTCGTGCAATATTTCTACCTAGTTTGGTGGTAACATCCGGGATAATTCCATGCGGACAAATATTTCTATCTAGTATTATGTACAGAAAACGTCCTACAATTGACATATACCTAACCCTGGTAGATAGTAAGGAAATCAGAGATCTAAGAATTAAAGGATTAGAACTTATAATCTTAAGAATTGCCGTGATTGGGCAGAGATGTGAAATAATGAGAGTGATAGGTATGTAACTATATGTACTGAAGTTGTAGCATATCAGTGCACTGTCTTTAATGACCAACCCAACAGGACAGCTTCTTGAATAGGACAACTTCGTGGGCAGGTTGACCGATTGAAGTATTGTATGGGCTCCCTGAGCAGGACAACCCGCTGGCGAAGCACCCTAACCGGGGCACCCTCTTCGCGAAATTGAAAACTTCGCCGGCGGGACAGAACATATATATACCGAGTGATATGCTGTGATTGTTCTTGGCGTAGGCTTTGGGATGACACGAAACAACCTATATGGATATCTGAATTATTGGATATCTAGGTTTGTTCTACTCTTACTTTTGTCACGTTCAGGTGTTTTTCGCGTGGTTAGATATACCTACTGTATCATCAAAATGTGTACGACGGGATCTCGAAGGTTGAAATTTATTGGATTGATTTGTTTGTGGAGGGCTGGAAGCATTAATTTTACTTTTAAAGCAGTATATGTACACCATACCAGCAAAATACGAATCTATAAGTATCTGTAGAAACAGGAATGTACGATACTTCAGCTTCATCAGTGCGCGTGCTATCGCATGTACATGTGTCTCTAAGATGTACGTGTAATCTTGTGCCTAAGTTGTATTGCTTGCCGAAGCCGCAGCAAATACATGTATCTTGGAATGAGACTACATGTAGGTACGTGTGTTCATCAAGCTTTTGATTATTCTTGGCCTCCTAAAACCAACACGTAAGCTTGAACACCAGCGGGTGACTTCAGTTTGTGTGGTTACATGTAATTTTAACGTATCCCGCTTGATGTTACAGGTTGCAAGAGCCCATAATCATCTGGTCTCCGTCTCATCGGCCTTTCTCCTTCATTCCTTACATGTCTCTCTGAGCCATATGACTGAATTGGAAACCACGTTTATCCCCATCCCCAATGAATTCATGAATCAATACTAATTATGGCTTGCTAAGTACATGTAGGTATCTTCACTACATCCAATTCACACGGTCCTATATTTTAACAATCTTCCCTATCAAGCAAGAACTCTATTGACTTCTCAACGGAGCAAACATGTCTAGTTGTTATCCACCGAGCCCATATAATCTAAATAGCCAGCACTTCAAGATCCATCCCGTCTTCATGCCCGGCTTATCACCAAGCCTTCGCAAGAAGATTCCAAACCTTCAATGATCACAGGAGCACCTGAGAGTTAAGCACGAGTACTGACATAATCACTTCAAACATCGAACACCGGCAGCCTCCTCTGTATGTATGTCAGAGAGCCACATATCACAGGCCTGAAACTAAACAGCTCTTTCTCACAAAACCCGCAAAACGGAACTCCATATATAGGTACACCGCCAATCAATCAAAAAAGCAACCCCTGAATGACATCACCGCTGCTTCTGCACATATCCGTCTTTTTAGGCACCGCACATCAAACACGCACAAACACAAACATCAGGCGCAACTCTGCGTTTCTGCACTCACACGATGTCAGGCACAATCAGTATCTAAGCGAAATTAAGCGACCTGCATTCCGTGGTCACGATGAAGATCACTGATGTTTGATAAACGGCAATCGTTTCCAGTTACATTGCACAGCACAAGATGATCCGTCACCAAGCTGGTCACAATAATCAATGATCTAACGGTACACAAGAAGCTGAAGTACCTAAGAAATGTTTATAAAGCTCACCACTACTAACCACCAGAACTCCAGATCATCACCTTCACCATCAGGATAACCATCGAAGATACAATCGCAAGAAAAAGAAATGGACAGAAACTCATCCCCATCCTCGGACGCATATAAATATCAAATGCATCATTCAGGTGTCACCTTCGGCCTCTCCTACAGCATCCCTCCCCCCCCTCCTCCTCTTCCCAACAACGAGCACGCTCTGAGGGTCGAGAACAGTATCCTCAAGAGCCTGAATGACAGCCTCAAGGCCGACGTCAGTAAACTCAAGAGCGAGAGCCGTAGTCTCAAGACCGAGATTAAAACTCTAAATGAAACGTTGACAATATGGTACGGACATGCTGAGGATCTGCGGAAGCTGGTTGTGGGGTTTAGAACTAGCCTGACGGGGGTGTTGGATCTTAATGGGAACTACAAGGAGAAGACTGCGAAAAGGGAACGTTAATGTTGCTAGTTCTGCGAATGCGACTGCAGGAGCTACAGGAAGGTAGCCGCAGGTTATTGATTTTTCTTCTTTTTCTCATTGATTCGTGATTTGTTGAGCTTTAGTTGAAGGATTTATAGGCTATTCTTTATTTAGTCTACAGGTGGAGGAAACTATTGGGCAAGCCAGGAAATGCAATTTTTATTCCCTCCTAATGCTATTTTGATATTATTACTACTTCTCCATCCATCAATGTCCATCTTTTTACATCCAAAATCCTTCCACACACCACTCGTGACACGTTTACTGGCATTGAGCTGCAATAAGAAACCTCCGATTAGCGTATGTTCAAACTGCACAGATTCCAGAAGATATGTGAACTTACAGTAGTAGTCATTCAACTTGACACAAGTCGTTCCCGACACACAAGTCGTCGATCCCGTATACGTCGACCCTCCGCACTGACCCCACTGCGCAACTGCAGTCCCAGAGCTCGCAGCAGTCGTCGTAGCCGCAGCAGCAGTAGTGGTAGTCTTAGTGGTGGAGACCACCGCCGCAGCTGAAGAAGCAGGAGTGGTGTTTCCACCACTGCACGAGAAAACGGCCGGTCCAGGGATAGTGTATGACACTGGGGTGGTGTACAAGTTGAATTTGATCCCGGGGTCGGTGCCAGAATAGATACCGGGGATGCTGTAGGTAGTCGGCGACGTGGAACCGCCGCCAGTGACGCGGAGCTGTGCACACTCCATGTACAACTGGGCACCGGGGTAGCTGGACGCCGCGTGCAGGGCGATCAGTTCACCACGGAAGAACTGCGTGGTTTGTTAGTTCAATGATTCTTTATGCATGTTTTTTTTCTTGTAAGGGGACAACGGGCAGCTTACGTAGTCGCCGGGGGCGATGCAGGAGGGGATTGTAACGGTGACTTTGCCCTGGTTTGCGATGAGCTTGGCGACGGCCCATTGGCCGTTGCTGTAGCCGTCTTCGTAGATCTTGAACCAGCCAGAGTTGGGGATGGCACCGGTGGCAGAGTCGACCTTGGCCATGTATACGAGGATGGGTCCGTTGTGGGAGGCATCGATGACGAGGCCAGTGGCTGAGGTCGATGTCGAGAGTGTGGCCCCTGTCATGTATGTGTTAATATATTATAATACTATTATATAGATATTATTTATATATGGGGGGTTTTATGGGTTTGAGTAATAGCTATAGCGCTATAATACGTACCATTGGAGGGTGATAGTAGACCCGGCAGCAACAGTAGCAACGTTCGGCGAGATCTTGACAAGAGGGTTTGGACCGCCGTTGCAGGCCATCTCAGTGGCTGTGACATCGGTGATGGGGCCGTCGTAGGTGGGCAGACGCATAAAGTCATATCGTGTCTGCATCACTCCATTGATACCGATCTGCTGGAAGATTGTGTGCGCCGAAGCAGCACCGGCGAAAAGGACGGCGGAGATGAAAGACCTCATTTTTTTGGATGAACCGCTGGGTAGTCGATTCTGAGGGAATGAATGTAGCTAGGGATTGATGGAGAATTATGTCCCAGAAGGAGAGGAGATCGACTCCATTTAAATTGTAAAGTTTTAGATATTGACCACAGCTTTTTTCCCCTCCTCCTCCCCCCTCTCTACTGGCCCTCGCTAGCAGAGCTTTGCAGTATCCACTCGTGACCTCTTTAATTTTTGCCTTTGTGTAGTACACAGTACGACCAAGACTTTGATATTGCTGCTCGGTCGTTGGATTTTCGCATCTTCAGGAACCCCGTTCCGTGCATTAACAGGACGTTGATACCTAGTTTCGGAGGATTTCCATCTCTGCCCCGTTGATCACAGGCGGCTAAATAGTCTATTTTTCCCCATCCAGCCACGAACCGCAATCAAATTCGCTTGGAAACGGAATGGATTGTGGGGACACCCCAGTCCGCCGGGCCTGAGATCCGCAATATATATATTTCAACGGACCTGGGGATGTCAGATTATATATAAAGGGGGATCCGGGAGCGGACTTGGAGAGAGGAAGATCCAGCCGAGTTTTTAGTCCAGTGTAACGGGCACATGTAGTTAGCTACTAGCTGGTTCCTTCTGGATTAGTTGGAATGATATGCGCGACGACTTTGTTGTAGCTAGCGGCGCATAGGGTATATATCTTCAATACTTTATTTCGCTTTTTATCGTGGAGGTATATCACCTGAAGGCGCAATAAACCGTGCAGGCGGACCCCTCGTGGTTTGAATACCAAGACCCGGGTCATAAAAGCAAATTGATTGACGGCGGTAAGGATTTTTCGTTGGTATGAGATAAAGAATCCCAAGCCGCAGGAACCTAGGATCCAGTGCACCTGTCAATATGTTATGAGGTGAGCTGGTCTATCTAATAGGCGCTTCAGCTAATAACGTCCCCCTCCCCCACCTGCGGACCCCGCCCGGACTCTCAATCTGACACCGCTTTACTATGATTTGAGGGCGGCAAAGTAGAGAGAATCCTAGATAGGAGTATATGGTTCTCGTATGTTTGTTTCTCTGGCTTTGTTTGCGGTGCATGGGCATATTCTCCGATAGAGTGGCTAGGAGTGGCAGATATCAGGAGAGAACTCTTCGCTTATCTTGGTTCAAGCTAGCGATGAAACAACTGCTGGGGAGAAGCTTGTAATTGCTACAGCATAGGTACATGTATGCGTCCTTGCAAAATAGCCACGTTTTATAGTCCCCCAAACAGGGCGGCCAACGTAGTGGCACGTACAGAAAGGTCAGTGACCAAGTGCCCAAAGTAGCAGAAGCTAGAACCATATCACAGCGACGGCTAAAAGGACGAACGGAAGCATAAGCTTAAAACGACCGCAATATACCCCTTTTATCGGTCCGCCAGCAGCAAGCCAAGCAGTAGTCTATCGGTCATGGATTATCACTCGTGCTGGCCTGGGCGGGTCTGTATTATTCATTTCGTTCCGCATGTTCTGCAACGCGGGGTAAATCGCACATGACTTTTGGTTTAATATACCTCCCCTGGCTGTCTATGCATGCAGCGATCAGGAAAAGCACATGGCCGGAAGAATCTCATAGAACATAGTGGACTTCAGTACGAATCCTGTTTGGCTCTCTGATCGACTTGAAGTGTGCATGCAGCATTTAAATCTCCGGTCTGACTACCAGTACCGTGGGTTCACTAATCCTTTTGACCGAGTCATGGTATAATAGCTCTCAGCCAGCTGCCTATCCTCGAAAGATTGTTCGTGAGAAACGCCAAAATCCAGATTCTGTGGATATCGTAAGGATAGGAAGGAGATGATTATAAAGCACCGAATTGCAATGCTTCCAAAAGGGGGCATTGTAAAAGAATAAGTGACTTACCAACAAGAGAATCACTGCCGTTTTAGGCTCACCATGCATCACTGCGATTACAACTCCACTCTGAAACCTAAATCCGGAATCCGGAATCCGCGATCCAATGAGTAGCATTTCAGAGCTACACTGGCTAATTGTTGCTGGGGCTAAGCGGCGTTGCCCACATGTAATTCTGAAGCCCTAAATGGAATGTAAGAAAGCTCAAAAAAAGGCGATATTGTATTGATATCGATGTTGACGAGGCCGGTTAAGCCTCGCATCAGTTATTTATGATCCGCTTAAGGATTACGTATATATATATGCCTCAACGACGTGACAACGTACCAATATTGACTGTATCCTCTGACTTGTTCTCGAGATCTAGGGTCCCTCGTGAATATTAAACGGTTCAGGCCGTTTGGCCAGCCTGGCTACATGCATTTCTTCAAGTTAGGAGTTCGAAGGCCAAAAGATCGACTGAGATAAAAGGTCATCCCAGCCTGCCTTTTCTGTTAAGTCACCTCCAACAACCAGCACCAACTACAGTCAACTGCGCAAAATCTCGAGTGTTTCTATTTTTCAACCCTCCTCTTGACAAAAGCTTGCTATATATAAGTGTAGCACTTAATTTCGGTCCCTTTTCTTTGGTTTTCAGTACTGGCCCTCTCTCTAGAAGGGCAATCTCTCACGGTACCCGTATAGCAAGCTTCCGCTGTACTGGTTTATCCTGAGGAGCGGACAAAATAAACTCGTCTTAGTATATTCCAGAACTTATTTCAATAAATACCCCCCCCCCCCCCCCCTTAGTTAAACTCTATAGTGCTGCTGAGAAGCAGCACACCCCTCTCAACTGAGTCCCCTGACTCTCCCAATTTCAGGGATTTTGTGCATTGGGAGCATGGCTCCATAACCGGTTTCCCTATTTCAACTTTTTAACCACGTGCACGGAGACCGGCGAAGCTACGGTTGGAGGGACTCACGGCGGGTTAGGGTTCTTTTAATTTTTGTATATAGTTTTTTTTTCTGTAGATACATATAGCTATAGATACAGTAAACCACATGCACAACAGGCATTGAATTACTTTTTTTTTTCTTTTTCCATGCTTCAACTTTTTTGGGGGAAAATAAATCGAAAATGCCCCCCGAAGCTAGGGCGCCAGTCCAAATCAAATCCTTCAGGTAATTGAGACGAAAGTACATACACAAAAGATGAAAGGATTAAATGACCTTAGACCACAATTAGTATTTCCTGTTTGACACTTGCATGTCAAGAAGAAGAGTTTTGAATCCGCGGCTGTGGTATTCAGGTAATCTACACCCAAACCCTTTACCAAGCCCATAGCGAGATCACACCCGAGTCCATCTCGTGGTATATGAGACTTTTACCGATGAACAAAACAACCTCACTTGCCAAACGACATCTATTTAAATAGGCAAATCACTCACCCATTCTGAAAAGTCAGTTGGTTGAAAAGTCGGTTACGAGCCCCAAAGAGTGGGGTTGGTTGCAACGTTGCTGGCACAGTATGTTGCATGATCAATCATTGACCTATCCTACTTTCTCAAAACACCGTTTTGCGGTTTGTCTATACGATACTGAATTCTTAAGACTCTTCTGAAAAACCGATCAATAAAGAAAATTCCCTCATAATAAAAGCAATACTATTTTATCTATCCAATCCTCCCCCTAACTAACTACCCCTCCCACAAACCCCCCCCCCCCCCCCCTCACACCTCCTCACACAACCGTCACCAACTGCGGATACTGCCCCACCACATACTCCACATCCTTATCCCCCCTCCCGCTCACATTTACCAACACCCTCGTCTTCTCCCCCCTTTCCACCGCACCCCTCGCCACCTTCACCGCCCATGCCACCGCATGCGCGCTCTCCAACGCCGGGATGATGCCCTCCGTGCGACTAAGCGCAAAAAACGCCTGCACAGCCTCCTCGTCCGTCGCGCCACAGCCGGCCTCAGTCCGCCCGATAGAGCGCAGGTACGCCTGCTCGGGGCCGACGGAGGGGTAGTCGAGCCCACTTGCAATTGAGTGCACAGGTGCAGGGATGGGCCCCTCGGAGGAGTCGGCGGTGGTGGGGGGTGTTTGTAGCATGATGGAGTTGAAGCCGTGCATGACTCCTTCGGAGCCGGAGGCGAGGCTGGCGGCATGGTCGCCGAGGGCGGAGCCGCGGCCGAGAGGCTCGACAGCATGGAGCTTGACGGTGGGGGAGTCGATGAAGACGGAGAAGATGCCCTACACCCGCACACCAATTAGCCCCCTCCCACATGAATAGAGTCTTCATATATATAGCTACGCACCATCGCATTCGACCCCCCACCACAGCACGCAACAACATGATCTGGCAGCGTCCCCGTCCTCTCCAAAAACTGCTCCCTCGCCTCCTCGCCCACCACCTGCTGAAAGTTCCTCACCATCATCGGGAACGGATGCGGGCCCACCACGCTGCCAATGCAGTACATGGCCGTCACCGGATCCGCCATGTATGCGCCAAATGCGCTGTCCACCGCCTCCTTGAGTGTCTGCAGCCCCTCCGTCACAGGCACGACCCTCGCACCAAGTATATTCATCCGAGTCACATTAGGATGCTCCTTAGCCATGTCTACGGCGCCCATGTGGATCTCGCACTCGAGGCCGAAATAGGCGGCCGCGGTGGCGAGCGCGACGCCGTGTTGGCCGGCGCCCGTCTCGGCGATGACTTTGCGCTTGTTAAGGTGCTTGGCGAGGAGTACTTCGGCCATCTACAAAAAACAATATCCCAATCAGCTTCCAGGCCGTATATCAAGCCCGTCAAGAAATACTTACGCAATGGTTCAACTTATGCGCCCCCGTATGATTCAGGTCCTCACGCTTGAGGTATATCTCCACGCCCGTCCCCCCGCCGCCGCCAATGCTCTCGCTGAGGCGTTTTGCGTACTGCAGCGGCGTGGGGCGGCCCTGGTAGTTTCTGCGGATCTCGTCGAGCTCGGCGATGAATTGCGGGTCCTGGCGGAGCTCGAGGTAGCGGGCCTTGATCTCGTCCATTTGTGCCTGGAGAGGCGGGGGGATGAAACTGCCGCCGTAGGGACCGAAGAAGCCGTTGGCGTCGGGGTGGGAGGTGAGATAGGGCTCGGTTTTGGCTTCCATGGTGGTGACTTTAAAGTTGAAGCTGGATGTACTTGGAGGAAGAGAAGAGGTAGTATATGTCTACTACTGAATTGTAATTGGGGACTGGGCTACTCCAACCCCCTCCGAAGGGTCGAGTGAGGGGTTATGGCTTATATAGGGCTCGCGGTCCAACCCACTGGCAGGGAGCTACTAGTTTCGTGAAACGTGTGTGTGTGGCCCGCTTTGTTCTGCATCACACCCATGGCTCTACCCACATCATACTCATCTCTCCAGACAGAGTTTAGTTCTCTGCATCTGTAACATGCAAAAACCAGGGCCTGCCCCCACTCTCATCTCCAAAAGGGATATCAGCACTGTGATCGGCGGTAAGCATGCAAGATCTTACTTACTAGTTACTACTTTACTACAGATACCAGATAGCATGAGTAACGACATCCCATCCCCTTCCCGCGGAACGGACGCATCCTGTGCGTGGCTTTGTCATTGTCACTTGTGCTACTGCAACGACTTTCGCGATCTTAACAGAGGACGTTATCGAGAGCGCATGCAGGGTTCGCGGTGAGTCTGCGGCCTTGGCAGGGGAGCAGTTGGGGGAGGAGAGTCTGTCACGTGATGGATATAGCAACGTTAACAGCTTCAATTCCCACCTGTTTCCCCGCCCACGCAGAGAGGGCATGGGCGTATTCGTGATTTGCTGCAGCAATCGCAATATCAGGCCGTGGTCCCAGAAGAAACAACGTAGCAGAGCAACGTACAGGCCAGGACTAAGCTTCGCGCAGGCCCCGTGACGTCTCTGGCCCAACCGGACGTGCGATCACAGCCTCTCACTCGGCGTGACACGAACCACATTCTATGACCGACCCGCATCCGACCGACCAACCAACCAACACACAGAGCAAAACATTACATCCCATCTCGGCTCGTCCCGCAACCCCCCCTGCGTCCATCCTTACAGCTTGCTGCCAAGCAGGGGATGGGCACGAGACTATAGCTACCTATATCCCATCCACCCGCGCCTGGCTGCACCTCCCCCTCACACGCACACGCCTATCAAGCCAGCACATATAAAACCCATAGCCCCCAAAATGTTCCACCCCCAGCGAACCCGCACCCGCAACCCCCGCAACCGCAGGCCCAGAGGAAGTCCCCACACTCCTCGCCTGCCCCCCGTTGTCGTCCCCACCAACACGTTCACGCGCCCCGATGCCCGCGGCACTCTCTGGGTGCCTACCCACACTCCACGCCCCGACCAGCACCCTCAATCCCCACGTCTCAATGAGCGCCCCCAACCCTCGCAGCCTACCCCCGAAGACGACGGCCGTCTCTCCCGCAGCAGCAGCGACGCCAGACTCCCCAGCATCGGGTCCTTATCCAGCTCCAGTTTTAGCAGCACCACCAGGCCCCCGCCCAGAATCGAGGCCCCACGACCAGTAGCGCAAGTGCAGGTACAAGTACAGCCCCGCTCAAAGCCGCTCGAGAAGAGCGTGGTCGTGAGCGTCCGTGTGGAGCGTATGACCTCCGTGCTTGCCGCATGGGATAGGCGCTGGGACGCTGCATGTGAGCTTCCTACACCCCCGGAGGAGGAGGAGGAGGAGGAGCAGGAGGAGCAGGAGGAGGAGGAAGAGGGGGTATCTGCTCTACCCACTGCCAGTACTACAACCACGACTGCTGCGGCCAAGGACGAACCCCAAGCCCTCGACGAGAACACAAAAGAGGTTGACAAGGCCGAAGCACTGCCTTCATCCTCAGTCGGTGGTGTAGCGCTCCCACGCTCAGTAGTGGAGGGTCTGTATCGGCCGAGGAGCACGCGCGAGATGCAGGTGCAGCAGTTGCGGGCCAAGATCCCGTGGTTGGTCGGGCAGGGGACGTTGGGTGGTGCTGGGTGGAGGCCGCTGGAGGAGTATTATTGGGATGAAGGGGGGTCCGGGGAGACCTGAATATGGTGTGGCCATATAGGTACTGCTGCTAGAGGCACTTTGTTTGAAGGTGCTTGTAAGGTGGTAAAGCTTGTCTGTGGGGCTGGTTATATCCTTGTTCGTATGTATTTTTCCTATTGTTAGTTTGTTTTTGGGCTGTGTTACTGACCCTTTCTCTGATAAAGAACTTGCATTGAGAATAATGGCTGGGAGTACTAGTTACTCTCCAGCATTACATGTTACTCGCCCACCAGCTTTAACGATAGAGCTCTCCCCTTTTAGAGCACGAAAACCAAAACAAACAATCATTAGTATTCGCTCACTTAAAAATACAGGGAGCTCGGGAGTTCGGAGGCGGAGAGCACATGTTCTTTCTCTTTATACTTGTATCTTTACGTCAGCCAATATGCACTAGTTCGCCGAGTGATAATCCATGAACCACGCTCTATCCATGCGCAAAGTTCTAAAACGCCCTTTGTGGATACATAGAGTGGTGGATGATAAACAGAACTTCATAGTACAATCTAGTTCATGCTCCAGTGACGCAAATGTAGTTTGAAAGTACGAGATCCCTAAGCTACCAGACCCAAAGTGTATGAATGTGTAGAAATAGCGGTATCATGATCCTGATCTATCGACTTCTCAGCACATCAAGATCTAAGAAACTACATATGAACCATTCTGTAGGTCGTCTATGGATTGCTCGTCTCTTCCAAGAATTTTGGGTTGACGCTGGGAGCAGTAAAATCCCTAACCCTGTGTCGGAGCCAATGCCAAACTACACAACAGACCACATTACCTCAAACCTCCGCCCAATCAGTGAGGAAGATTGATCCCACCTTGATCTTTGAGGTACTGCTTGTTCTTTTGTTCTTTACGGATTCAAATCTACTTATCCATTCATAAATATCACCTACCATGAATTTACACATCGTATTTTCATTTTTAACCAATTCGTTATTTTGATCGATACAACAGATGCTCTTTATTTCTATACTTCACATACTTAGAAAATTCTAATTTCAGCTTGTTTTGACAAGCTGACGCTATTTATTTCTTTGCCGGAGCACTAAGCAGTAAAAAATCACAGACATGAACAGAAGATTGCGGTGCTATAGCGTAAAGGGATTGTGTAAGTACAAATATCTATCGTTCTATTGAATCACTCCAAAGAATCTAACTTATCGCCCCCATGTACTATTTTTGTGCCATTTAGCCTTTTAAAAGCGACGCTTTCCTTGTCTCCTGGGCAAGTTCTCATCGGCCTCCATCTTTGGCACTTCCTCCTCAAACTGCCTCACTGTTGGTCGTTCAACAGTCCATTCCCTCTCGCCTTTTGCATTCGTTTTGACAATAACATTGGCAACTTGAAGGCCGACGGGCCTGAGCCTTCCTGCTTTCCCACCCATCTGAACTTTGCGCGATTTCCTCTGCGCATCATCCCTCGAGTCCTTAATGAGTGCCTCCAATGCCTCCGCCGTCTTCCTATCGAGATTCTCTTTCGCCATCGCTTCTTGGTAAAAAGATTTTTTGGTGGCAAACCGCTTGTCCGTGAAGGTTCCACTCTGTTCATCGTAGTTAGGATGAAGATCTAGACAACTTTGACCTTGGTGACATGGTCCATTGAAGAAAATCGGACACAATTTACGCACTTTGGCTTCAAAGGGATCTTGCTTTGCTTCATGGGCTTTTTCCGGAGCTGTTTCAGGAGCAATTGGTACAGTCTGAGCTCGGTTATCTACGAGACACAGAGATTCTTGAGTTATCGAACCGGGCTTGTCGGTGAATCTCTGCCATCTCGCTGAAACATCGCTAATAACGGACTCTTTTTGCGATTTAATAGCCTTTGTGGTGTTAGTAAATCATTACCGCGAGTGAGGTAGAGGAAACGAACAGAACCACCACGACTAGAACCACGACTAGAACCACGACTAGAACCCCCACGGTGAACGCTCAGCAATGAGATAGCTGGCATCTTATGGCTTTTATTCTTGAGGCTATCTTCGCCGATCCTTCCCTATTTCGCGTAAGCTGCCTCTTCTAAGATAACTAGATCGATGAGGCACTTACATATGGCGATGTGAATAGAACACTTTGACGTTGTGGTACCAAATCCATTTGTTCCTGCTTACCTTCGGTGAGCGAGGTGATAGTTTTCTTATCTCCCAAAGTTGTTGGTATCATGCCTTTCTCGCGCCATGCAACAATTTCCTTTTCTTTCTCGCATAATTTGTCGAACTGGGAACCAATTTGCGGAGTTGTGGACTGCGGTCGTGGAGGTCCATCATATTGCCCAGGTCTTCTTGAGCCGCGACTAGATGCAGTTTCTTTGAAGGATCCTCCAAGGGAATCTTTCATGAGTGCTTCATCCCCCGTCTTGAGCTTGGGAGGTTCTTTCTTAATCAACTCAATTGGTTTGATCCATTCCCCAGGTGCAACACCATCAGAATCACTCTCATCATCATCACAAACACTCCCACGGGAATGTATGCGAGCAAGTACTGAAGGCCGACCCGTTGGGAGAACAATATTGTCGTTTTCCGAAGAAAAAGAGAGTTGACTAAGCCAGTCTTCAGTCACAATCTTCGGATCATTGGCATTTTCATCTCTTCTTGGTTCAAAATTGAATGGGTCGAAACTTCTTGGTCTAGCCGCTGAAGAATTTAAGTTAAACCCCCGTTTAGGGCTTGGACTGGGACCTGGTGAACGTCTTGATCTTTCCGCATCCTCAAAACAAGACCTTCCTGTCTTCTCCGATTCTTTTCCTGATATAGAATCCTCTCTCAAAGAAAACGTTATACTCCCCTCGCTTGACATGGAGCTACGTCGAGAGATTGGGGTGCGTAGATTGAAACCAGCCTCAGAATCTCTAAAGAATCCATCATCACTTGTCGTAAGGTTCTCTACCAAATTTTTTTTACTATCCTGCTGCGAAATTATCATTTCATCATCTCTACTTGAAACACCTAGGTTAATTTTCTTGCCGTTCGGGGCTTCAGCCAAGGCTATAGGTTTCTCGAAATGACCTCGATGCCTTAAAACCTGCTCGGTTTTTGTTTCTTCCGCAGAACCTTTGACCTTCTCAAGGTTACGGTCATGAGAATCCTCTGCCGCTTGTCGATTCAAGTGGAGAGCACTAGAACACCTGCTAGATGGTGATACACCTACACAGGTTCCAGGCTGCTCGAGGGATTCCCCCGTCCTAGCGATAGCGTTGATTATCGGTAACCCTTGATATAAACCCGCCTCGATGTGTTCAACCTCTGGCGAAATAGTTTTTTGGATGGGAACAGCCTGTATTTTAGCGCAGACTTCGGGTTTTCCGCTCCAGATTGGCAATGGAGGTGTATCATTACTAAGACTGGCTGCAGTTTCTTGGATAACAAGTGTAGCTAGAAACGTAGCCATTTGGGGGTATCTAGACTTAATAGTATCTGGAATCGTTTTAAATCCAGGGTCGTCAAATCCCTTCGCGGGATCTGTAATCATGTCTTTTGTGCCTACCACACAGTCAAAACTTTTGTTTGATACACGGAGAGGTAATGCTTTACTTACTAGTTTCTTCCTCGAGACAAAACCTCCAACGATCCTCAACCAGTTGCTTAAATTTAATATCTCCAAACTCCTCTTCCTCCTCTATTTCAGGTGCAAACTCAAAGCTTTCATCTGAATCCTCGGACTCCGTGTTCGGAGAGTTATTGCCTTCTTCCATCCTCGCAGAGCGCTCATACGTTGCTCCCTCGTCAATTTTAAATTTCGTGCTTTCGTTGCTCTCTTCACCAGTAGATCGAGCAATTGAAACTTCCTTTCCCAAGTCGAAATGGCTTGTTATTTTACTGGCATGATTGTCATCTATAGGGGGTTTGTATTCGCGTAGATGCGCTATATTCCAAGATGTCAAGGGTTATTCTCACAGAGCGTTCATAGGGAGTAATGGGAGGGTATTACCTTGAGTATCAGCTCCAGCTTTTGTCCTCGTCAAGGTGGTCTCAGTTTGAACTTTTGTTGGTGTAAAATCAAATGGAGGGGCAAATGGGTTGAATTGAGCCTTGGTTGGTGTATGCTCCAATGGAGATGTAAAGGGATTGATTTGACTCTTAGTGGGCGTGAACTCAGATGAGGATTTTAAAAAAGTGAATTGCTTCTTGGCTGAAGCATCAAATGTGGATGCAAGTGGATTAAGTTTATAAGAGCCAGGAGATTTGACGCTTGAAGGGGGTTTGTTCTCGTGTTCAGATTCTGGCTTGTCCTGGAGCTCCCTTGACGCCATGTTGAACGCTCCAATGCGGTTCTCGGAGTTTCCAAGCAAAGACCCATTATTTTGTTCGCGGTTTCTAGTCGTGGACTCCATAGGACAAGTCGAAAGAAAATCAAAATCTAAGATAATTAGCAGCACGACTTCTATAGGGTGACTTACCAGAGGCAGTGTTGTAAGCCAGAAAATAAAATCATGATGGCACTTACTGCTGGTTGTGATTTCCAACTTGAATCTTCTACTTCCAGATGAAGGGGATGCGAGAGCAGTGAATCTGTCGTGAAGGGAGTTTCCGTGCTTGGCTCCGGCTGCTTCATGAACCGATGTAGCGGGGGTAAACGATGAAAAACGAGTGGGATCATCAGAAACGGGATCATCATCCAGGAGTGAACCTTCCATTTTGACTTCCTCCATCTTATTAGTTGAGGATGTTGACAAACTTGCTGGTTGCTCTGAAATATTGATAGGTGTGCGTGGTGGTGGTGGTAAAGTGAGAAGATTGCCTTCGACGATGTTTGCTCACACACCAAATTCAGTTCGCAGCTCAGTGCTCCCGGACAAGCTACATGAAATTGTAGAATATGCAGTAGACGACTCAGCATTCAATTCTCGGCGCCAAGATATTCGAGTGATGGTTTATGCCCGACCTTGCATCACAACCTCTCACATCGTAAAAGGTTACGGACCTAGACCACGTGAAAATCGTATAACAGGAACATACAAAGATACGGCGATAAATTGCTCTAAAGTCATGGGGACTTCCACACATACATGTAGTCTACTGACTTGTGGCTTAACTTCTTTGGACATGCTCGAATACATCAAAAACAATTCCCTCATCGGCAAGATACGTAGTAGCTTCTCATATTGCAGCTGTGACACTAGAGAATAGTTCTTATAAGGATATCATTTCATAAACCTTTACCGAGCGATTCGGCAGCTAACCATAAGTACATCGCTAGAAATTCAATCTTAACCTGCCAAAGCAAACACTGCTATAACCGTTGCCGCGCCCGCTAACCCAGCCCTGAAAGTACTCCTCGAACTCCACTCTTCCAAATCTTTCTTCACTTTCCCGTCATCCACAACTTGAACCCCCATTTTTCTTTTCTCGCTCTCCTCCACTGATTTCGCAGCGGCCAGTAAACTTGATTTAGCTTTCTTCAAGATTATCTGGCTGTATGGAATGACAATTGCCAACAGCACAGTCGAGGCACCGTACATTGCCCACTCATATCCAACCGGATACTCGGTTGTTGTTGAGGGTATGAAAGAACTCGAGGAGAACGTGGTCTTTGCTACCGATACGTCCGGAGGGTTCGAGTATAGATAATAGGACACGTACGCGAAGGATGATGTGGAAGCAAGAAGCGTGTATAACATCGGTCGATCGGTGGTTTCCTTAATTTTCTTAAAACTTTTGACCATTTTCTCTGTAGGTACAGAGGATTCGAGGAGAGACGGAATTGTATGACGAGAATGCGTATAGTACAATCCTAAACCCACAGGGTTAGTATAAGACATCACCTTTCTTTTCAGTGGGAGCTCTACCAGCTAGGATTCCAGAGCCCACAGTCCCAATTATCTTGGCGTAGCGAACCGCAGGAGGAAGCATGGTCCCTGAGCTTGGAAGCGAAGACATTTTGCAATAAGAGGTTAAGAAGTATATGGAGGGATTTTAATAAAGTTGAAACAAATACTTTGATGATTCAAAAAATTGCTTGTGAGAAAAGAGATGTTCGCTCAACTGATATATAAAGAGTAGAACGCCAATTACGTCACGACGACGTTCTGCCAAGGCCGCCCGGTGTAGTGTAGTTACTGACGACAAGAAGGAACAGCAGCCTTGGAATGGGTTTCGGAAAAACTTTACAAGAAGTTATTGATATGCACGCTAGAGTTAATCCGAATCTCTAACTAAATATGTTGAAAAGCGGGCTCATAAAGTAGTACCTAAATTACCATGTGCATATCTCCCACAAAACTTGGTAATTCAGAGAGTAGCATCAGTTCGTACGTCAACTGGAACAATACCTTAACGAAACAATGCCTATGGTCAGAATACCTACTACATGTACTTGTAACTCAGGGGAGGTCTAAATAAGATTAGGGTTAGCGAACTTCCGTAATAATACCAAACACTATAAAACCCTAACCCTATGTAGCGACGGTCATGTATTTAACAAAATCCAATAGGAAAAGGGAGACTACTGACATAACAATAACCCACTTCGAATTACTTTCACGAGGTTTAAATAAAGTTTATTATTATCTACCTAACCCCCATACGTACATCCTACCCCAGCAGATCTTAAAGAAAGTAGTTTATGTCACACAAATAATATAACCACTGGCAGTTCAGCACTTCCTTCACTAAGTCCCGAGACATGATCTTGCTTAAGCCCTCCTACCAATTCTTACCCTGATAAAAGCCACAGCCCTGCTTGACAAATACAACAGACTTAGTAGCTAGGTATAGAGCTTAGTCTAGTTTAGCATGGGCATAGAACTAGAAGTAATTTGCGCAATAAATAGCGGGCCCAGCGCCAGAGTCCGCTTCAGCCTCAATTCGAGTGATCATAGGTGACGGTCTTAAGCTTGGAAACGGTCTATGGTCAAGTTCCACTTGACTAAGTACCCTCAGCTGCCCATGAAAGGCGCAGCAAAAGTTTAATACGCGTGTACTACCAACAAGCATTTTCCTACAACGACTGTAGAATTTGTCTCCTTCATTTCCCTGGTTTTGTCACCGCCCGTTGGTTCACATGGCGTCAGCCCGCTCATCGTGTCACGTTACGACGGGGAGGGCGGGCCAAGTTGCGGCTCTGAAATCTGCAGTGCCACGGATATGAAATGAGGGGTAATGCAAGAGTGATCGCTTCCATGCGGTGATAGTCGGTGAATACTCTACAGTACAAAGAAACTGGCATCACTAATATTATTAGTGACTTTATTACTCTCCCTGGACAACAGACAGAGACGTAGCAGAGAGGAGTATACATGATGCCTATGCAGCCCCGGTCTCAAAGCTCTTAATAGTACCTGAAGCGAACCTCTAAATAACTAACTTCCCACATATGGAAACTCCTACGAAGAACAGCTGTCTTCATACCGACCTACTCAAGTCTTAGGAATTAGTCGCGGCACACATCACGGCAAATGAACTGCACCAGGGAGTCGTAGCCGGGGTTTGATGGGGACGACTGGCAACGGCCTCGACAAAATAACAACAGCAAGGACAGAGTGCCTCGATCATGCACGGACTTGTATTATACAACAGATATAACAACCACGTCCTAATGTTTTCAGCTGGTTCTTGACCAATTCTCCAAAGCACACTCGCTAAGATCTGCGCGAATGCTGGGATGTGTACTGGTATTCCCGGTCTTTCTTTCATGCTAAAGACAAACCTTGAGTCGGGATGGATAAACATCCAGCTGAGAATGAAGTATTTCTGTTCCAGGGATCTGGTCTGGACGGGGTTCTCACATGTAAAAAGAGCTTCCATTCGATGTCGATCCTAGACTGCGATTCGTTCTTTAAAGGGAGCTATGGCCTTTCGTTCCGCAAGACAGGATCATAGCCACTTCTATAGCTAACCCGATGGTAGTTTTCTTTATTGAAAAGAGTAAGTTTTGCTTGCTCGAGTTGTTTTCATTGCCACTGTGTTAGGAAAGTCAGAATAAGAATTTAGTGAAGAGTCGTCGTCGCCTTGTACCAATTTGGTAGTGGCCAGGACACCCCTGAAACAGAATGGCCAAATTCGGCTGGGAGTGTCAGAAAGGGACAACAAGATGAATTCCAATGTTCCAATCTCAGCTGCGCCTTCACCATCTCCCAGCGGCGAAGCGGCGAAAAGACTGACGCAGGCCGTCTACGAAGCTTTGTCCCCGAATCCCAATCATAACGTCCTTGAATCTTGGGAATTGCTTGATTCGTTCCTTCCAAGTCTGTGGCTGAGCGCCTCATGCAGACGGAGAAAGAAATTAGGACCAATGTGGGGGCCGCTGGTGGGGTATAATCTTTGAGGCTCATAATTGGATTTCCATTGCATGAGACCAGCTGAAGGGGGACGTGTTTTAGAGTTCCACAAACATGGGCTTTGACTTCTGTGCAGATAAGTACAATAATGTCATGTCGCCTGTCTTCTTCCCGTGGACTCGCATGCAACAGTACACATTTGCAACCCTTCATATTTTTGAGTGGCCATTTTCCTAGAATACAGCCAGACTCTTTCTAGCTTGTTTTCTAGTAAAGTCTCAAACTAACTGCCATAATCGAACGTCACATTCCGAAGCTCTGTCTCGTTGATACTTGACAGTTAAACCATACGCCGACAGACATCGTCGTTTATGCAAACGCTTACGCGTTCCTCAAAAGGTAATGTATATCAGACTTCATCCGATTCTATCAAGAATCTTGCCACTACATCTTGCCACTTGATGTATATAACTTGGAATTTATGATAGATATACTAACATCAAGCACTTCAAGTTATTCACATATCAAGTAGCCGGAATCCCTTGAATGCGGAATGTCTGGCTCGACTCAAGCAAAGATTTACCTCTCCACCCTTTTACCGATAGCTGTCACCGCTGCCGTCCTCCCTCAAAACGGAATGTCTTTATATCCACGCCTTGATAAGTTACGGAGCATACCGTGCGATCCCGTGAGCATAGAGAAAGTTCAAAACTTCTTTACCAATGCAGGGATAGGTTCTACTGGGATATTTTTGGCTATAGTTTTGGGGCCGGTTGTTGTCCGGAGCATCTTCAGGTGGCAGAATAGACGACGAAGAGAAAGGGAACAACGACTGTCTGCTCCGATGGTAATGCCGCTGGGGGAGAAACGGAAGGAGGATGAGAAGAAATCCTTGATATATGGAGATAATCCTGATTATCACGCGGGTGTTGATTTGACGCCTACACCTCCCTCAAGCAACACAGCCGAACGTAAACCTAAACGTTTCCGGCATCTCAGGATACACAGCCTAGATGAACTTCCACCGCCAACCTTAGACGATATATCCCATCAAAGCATATCGTGGAGTTGCCCTGTGAGTCCAGTACTTGAATCTGCGCCAACTCTGAACAAGCCCGGGAAGAGGAGGTCTCCGTTCAACCCTGTAGTTCCGGGCATGAAAACGACCTGGGAGGAAGGTGTGGATCCCGTAACTGGCCGGAGGTGGAAACGCAAATTGGTGGTTTACACCTCTCTCGAGACGTTGGATAAAACATCAGACGAAAAAATGGTTGGAGAACTGGGTTCCCAGGAAAATAGTTCCCCCCCGAGGTCATAGCTCTTTTCTTCTTCTTTAAGGGAGGCTGTTGGTACACGATTCCGAAATGGAAATATTTGTTTATTGATTTACTTCTTTGTTGGCAATCTACTCTTTTCCTTTTTGCATGAACATATTTTGGCTGATTGTTTCCGATCAGCATGGTTAATACCAAAAAACACCTGAGATTTTGTTGTGTAATTTAATTGTTCCGACACCAGTTATTGAATCTATGTCCTGGTCAGTTATCGCGATCATGAATGCTCATTCCAGAGGCTGGAATACATCCATACAAGGCAGCGTCTCAGCTGTATGAAGTAATAAATATAGCACTTCTCAGCTAGCCTTGCGTGATGTATGTACGGTGTCTATCTTATCTCGGTACCGGAATTCCAAATTACGGTTTTCTGCATGAAAGTGATTTAGCTGCCTAGCTCGCAAGTCAAATCACGTCTCGCCTGCAAGGTTCATGTTGCACCGCACCTGTCCCTGTAACACCCTAGCTGTTGTTGTGTTACCAGCCTAAGAATTTATTAGTTAATCCAACCAACGAGCCGTCCAATGACCAGAGCAGAAAAACAAATAATCTAAATAGTAACAAGAGACGCGAGGAGCCATTTAAAGAATGCCATTCTTGACATGATTGGCGTCTCACTAGTACATGCCAGCAGTGCGCGTGCAGTTGCATAAGGATACACAGTAGATCCCACTGCGCGCCGCTTTCAGCCGATTTTTGCACCTGAACTTAACCGCTTGAAAAATATCTGTCTGGACCGGAGTTCTTACCCAGATAAATTCCTCCTTACTGTTTTGTTGCTGGCAAGCTCTAGTACGGCGCCTGTTCGTTCGTGAATACTTGTGTATGAGAAACCAAGCTTCGCTGGAAGGTCTCAGGTCTCAGGTCGTCTCATGAGTCGTCTTGGCCTCCATGGGTTTCGGGTCAATCCGAGCTGAAAAGTCGGGACGGTCTGGTCTTATGACGCCATGTGAGCATCACCGGAGCTAACAATCTGATACTTTGGTTGGTGAAACGAGAGTTATGCAGTTGAGATATCTACCCGCAACTGCGTGCGCGCGTTTTTGTGCACAAAATAGCGGGGTCCAAACTTAGTGAAGTGTTGATTTTGTTGACTGGGAAGCTGTGACGTGGAGTTCCGAGAAGCTTCTGGAGTACGATAATTATACACTTGCGCAGGGTTATGAAAGAGTTAGTGTAGCAAATGAATGACAGGTCATGTTTGATTGTGGATCGATCGGTATACTACCTGTGAACCCGATACCAGGGAGCTTCCGAGTGACGTGAGTTGTCGAAGCCGGCACTACGCTCCGGAAACCCTGGGGATCAGCTCAAGGATTGCATTCATGTAGGTACATACTTTCCACCAATAACTTGGATGGCAGTTAGTCGAGTGATGACCTATGAAACTCTTGGTACAGGTTTTACATCTATATAGTACTACAATACAGTCTTTTCGCGCTCGGTTGAACCCTGACCCTGACCTTGACCTCTGCGTGGCAACGGGCTCACCCACCCAAAATATAATGCACCCCCCAAACGGTATATCAAACTCAACAGTGGAGATTGGATAAAAACTAGGTGGTATTGAGATATCACCAACGGGGTATGGGGATGTACCACCAAACCACCCAACTAACTGGGCAGTATCGTCAACGGGGTATGGGTAATTAATCTAGAGGTCTCTTCACTGGCGGGGAGAAAGAGAGAGGGGGGGATCTTGAGCTGGACATGCGCAACTACGGGCAATAGAGACACAATTAAGTCCTTATGAGTAAAACTCGCGCTCGCGAGTCCCCTCCACTGCTAGTATGCATGTACTCTGCTTACTCCGACCCCGTGAGCACCTACTGGGACATAGAGTCGATTAATTAATTCTATACTTACAAGTAGTCAACATAGGATATTTCCAGATATTCCAAGGCCATGTTCAGCTGATTAGCACTTCTATCATTAAGACTCACAGAAAAAGCCAATTTCTCTTGGCAAATCTTCGTCTTACAGCTGCGCGCTAGAATAGCGAAAACCAAAGTCATATTAGGCTAACGTCCTTCACAAAGTGCCCGGGGACGCAAGGAAAATTTTTGAACTTTCATAGAACTACGCACGTGATGCAGAAGCCACGCATTGACTTTCGTAATCCTCATCCGCTCTCCAGTGAACGTGCACCTTTGATAGATACTGCAGGATTACATCAATTGGATGTATACGTATGTGACAACGACAGGGAGTTTTGCATTAGAAATACGATAATTCCCAGCTTCGGAGTTTCAAAGTTCACTAATATCTGGTGTCAGGATCGAAATAGCTTGCAACTCGAGCGCTTGATCGCCCAGTGGGATTACTAGATCGCATTTTTCACATGGATTTAGTCAAGTACAATACCCACTTTCAAGGTTCAAAGCTGAAAGTCAAACATAGCGGGGTATCCTCACGATCATTAGTGCTCGTGTAAGCATGTGATTGAATTACTTCGCATTGCAGCAACTCCTGGCTCCCCTAAATCTAATCAGTCTCAACATTCACTCGTCACGGAATTGACGTCCTGATATCGCTGCAAAAGGACCAGGTGGTTCAACTGCGGATGCCACCTTCAAGGGGAGGAATTATCTTAGGTACGTGTATCATAGATACCTTTCTAATCACAATCATACTTGCTAAATTTCTTTAGGTCACACCAAATGCACTTTCGTTATATATATGGTATATGATATAAAAACGAATACCATTTGCAAGGCTCAAGTTCCGATTGGAAACTTTTTATTGATTTCGGCGATAAAGATGGTTAAAATTCTAATGGTGGGGTAGATCGGTAATATCACCAATGAGGGAACATCATATTACTCCGGTTCCTAGTAGGTGGCTGAGTCAAAATAAATTCTTGTGAATCTCATGGCCTCGTGGATTCACCATCATGTACTAAATCTCCACGAATAGCACTTCGTACTGCTGCTAGAAAGCGGCCGATATAAAAGTCCGCCTCGAGGTATTGATAACTCAACTACCACCCGCATCTACCTCGACATGTAGAAGTGCACACACTCAAATAAGCAGTCTAAATCTATACTGGCGAAAATATGAAACCATCCTGTTTTTGTTAGGAGAAAAAATTGACGAAAAGAACCCTGGGAAAATCCGAACCTGATAAGCTGAGCCGAATACCAATGATTCGGATGATGGGAATACATATAGAAATAGTAGATCCGGAAGGAATAAAAGAACGTTTTAGTATACGGATATAATTGGTTTTGGACCAAGACCCCTAGGTAAGATCGGAATATGATATACATGTACTAGCTCCCGATTATTTCAATATAGGTATATATCGAAAAGATGCATGTTCGTCTGATAAGAGCGTACAGGAAAGTCTCGCGAAACAGATCTGAGACATCATGAGAATATAGCCTAATCATATTTAGATAGATGCCAAGCTTCGACGTACAGCTAAGACACATCGTTTTTAACTGCAGTTGGTATTTACCAAGTCCAATTGATGTGAGTTCGAAGATATAATAGGAGTTTAAAATCGAAAATGGTCAGCTTTCTTTGCAAAAGTGTAATGGATTGATGTCTAAAGAGTTGTGTATTCGACTAGAAATATCGAGAATCTAAGCTGTGTAATATTTCTGTCCATCACTATGAATTGTCGGCGCGGGCTAAAACTACAGCTGGCGAGTTGTGTATATCCAGGTTCAGTCGAGCTCAGTTAATTCCATGCCCGATAAATATTGGAAAAATTACTAAATACAAAATTCAATAGCAATTTTAGTAGCTAGAGACTTTAAATTGAACGTTGGCTTGTATTGAACATTCTTCTACTTACGTGTCTTCTATGGTCTCCGGTCATCATGTTCTACTGCAATTTCAAGGTCCACCACTAACGCTGTCCGCTCTAGACATCGATGCAACTCAACATTCATCAGACTGACTACCGACCACAAAATTTCCATACCTTACGAATAGGATCGTAACCTAATATACGACGCGAGTATACAGAGAATGGTCCGACTTAAGGAGATCAGGGACAAGCTCCGCACAAATGCTTCATTCCGATCCTGGCGGGCTTCTCACACCTTTGGTGGAACTACAAAATCGAGATCCCTCTACATTGCAGGCTTTCGCCGCAAAAGCTTCTACTATATTGCTGGACTAGCCGCAACCACAGTATTAGTTGGTGGTGTAACAGGCGGTGTGAGTGTTCGGGGCAGTCTGAGAAATGCCAAAGACCTTGGACAGGCAGAGGGAGGACTTGGACAACTGGTAGAAACTAGTATGACACAGACCAGGATAAGAACTTTGACGAGTGATGGACTCTTGATATTGACGACGGTTATTTCAAGCTACATAACCACTGCCCAGAGAGGAGGCGGTGTTACAGTGATAAGGACCACGGGAGTAGACGGTGAAACAGTGACAATTCCAGGTGCTATAACCTTCGTTACGAATTCAGATAATAAGATACAGCAGAAGACGCTAGTTGGGAGCACTTACTACGTCACGGAAACAGATGGTGTGACTGTACCTACAACAGTATATGGAGCAGCGACTACAGTAACTGAAACCGACGGAGATGTCGTGACAGTCACTATGTACTCTGAATTGACAATCTTGACTGAGGCTGATGGGGACCTCACTACTTCTCTACGAAGCCAATCTAGAAATGGGGCAGGTGAAGTGGCGACCAGTGCTGGGACACCGAGGTATGAACATCTCTTTTCAGGCACATGGCTATTAAAAGTGCTGACAGCATCTGGCACGTCCTCAAACCCTTCCAGTACAGTAAACCCCTCTTCTTCTTCAACCACGTCTTCTTCTTCTTCTCCTTCCCCTTCTTCGATATCGAGTACGGCAGCAGCGTCATCTTCTCCAAGCTCCACTTCCGCCTCTCCCACATCCTCATCTACCGGCGGAGCTGGCGGTGGAAGTAGTTTTTCCGGAGAAGGAACATTTTATACCCCCGGTGTTGGATCATGTGGCACTGATAATTCGGAAGCAGATTTTGTAGCAGCTTTGAGTAGGGTGCTTTTTGACGCTACAGGAATAGCAAATCCTAACAATAACCCTTACTGTGGTCGTAGAGCATTGGTGAAAGCTGTAGGATCTGGATCCAGAAGGCGGCTACTTCAGAGAGAAGCCATGACTGAAGCAGAAACTACGAGAGGGATATTTTATACGGGTAATTCTACTTGCAGCGGGAACGAGTTATTGGAAAGCAGGAGTCAAAAAGAAAGCAGGAGGTTGCGAATAAGGTCGCAATTGGGAATAGGCCCGGAGAGGCCTTTGAAACAGTCGCCGCGTCTAGGATCCCTGAGTGGGCATATATTGCCAACGCCAGTCATCACGCAAGATTCATCAAGCGCAACTCTAGTAGTAGCGCCACCAATGATTACCCCTCCACCGCCAAATCGCAACATAGACCTACATAAACGACAAGCTGGAGGCGGCGGTGTTACGGTAACAATAGTTGACAGGTGCCCTGTCTGTGCGCAATATGATTTGGATTTGAGCCCTGCTGCCTTTGATGTCATTGGAGATCAGAGTGCGGGAAGAATCGCAATCGAATGGAGTTGGTTGGACTGAGACATAGATTGGAAATGATAGGATTTGGAGTTGTCAAGCTAGCTCAAGAGGTTCGATATCTGCGCCTGGAATATTCCTGCGTATGTGGTTTCCTATTTTTACAAAGGGGTTTTGTTGTCAAGCGCTATGATGGGTATTGTTGGGGTTGTTTGGTGTATTTCATTAGACATTTTGGTGCAACTAGATGTAGGTTGCATGTTCTTGTCGTTTTAGAGCGGTTGAGAACCCTTTTTGCCTTCTATAGCGTTGTTTATTCTACATGATATAATAATGGCAAGCAGTGTTGAATTATAGGTTTTTTTTCTTGATCCGTTGATCATTGGCTTTTTGTGATCTGATATACGAACCTCATGGACAACAACAGTCCACATGGGATTTAATTTTGTTAATTCCCAATATGAGTATGGAAGATATCTTTTGATGGAAGCTGCTATGAATTGAGACCTTCTATTCCTAAGTGAGATCAATACTCTTGGTAGTACCTTACCTGCAGGATCGTAGTCAACCCTAACCCACGATAATGGATTCTCGTGACATCATAAAAGTGGTTTAAATACCTCACAGTCCTGTATCGAGGTTTTTACCATATTCCTCACCCAATTCACAAAAAACTCACCTCCAATTAGCCCGCCAAAATGCCCATCAAGATCCTCGCGATAAACCCCAACTCCACCGCCTCCATGACGGGCTCCGTCGTGCAACTACTCTCGACTATAACGCCCTCCGACGTCGTCTTCGTGCCGTTCACAGCGCCCGCGCCCGCCCCGCCGTCCATCAACGACTCGGCCGACTGCCAGACGTCCGCCGACGTCGCGCTGCCCCTGCTTCTCCCCATCCTCGCTGACTATGCCGGCTTCATCGTCTGCTGCTACAGCGAGCACCCGCTCGTTCCCATGCTAAAGTCGCACACCTCCAGCCCCGTGGTCGGCATCTTTGAAGCGTCCGTGACGGCGTCGCTGCACCTGCTGCGCCCGGGACAGAAGTTTGGGATTGTGACGACGGGGAGGGTCTGGGAGGAGTTGTTGGGGGCTGGGGTGCATAGGTTTTTGGGGGGTGCGGGTGAGGGCGTGTTTGCGGGGGTGGAGAGCACGGGGTTGACGGCGGTGCAACTGCATGAGGTTGCGAAGGAGGAGGTGGAGAGGCGGATTGGGGAGGCGGCGGAGAGGCTGCTGAGGAGGGGGGATGTGGGCGTTGTGTGTTTGGGGTGTGCGGGGATGGTGGGCATGGGGGAGGCGGTGGGGAGGGCGGCGGGGAGGGTGAAGGTGGAGGTTAGGGTTGTGGATGGGGTTGTGGCGGCGGCGGGGGTTGTGGTGGGATTGGTGCGGGGGATGAGGGCATGAGGGCATGAGGGGAGCTTAGTTACCTGTAGTTAGTTTGTAGGCATGGATGGAGTGGGCATCTGGGGGTGTTATTGGTTGGTTGTGGTCTGGGGTGGGGGATGGATAGCTTTTGGTTAGGTTGTTTTAACTTCACGACTCAGCACTCAGAATTAGAATTGAGCTAGCATTCAACTTGTTTTATCGATGACTTTATTTCAACACGTATCGTTACAGCGAACCAACAAAAGAAAGAAGAATTTAACCACTCCGCTTGTATAGTTTAAAACCCCGTTATCAAAATAAAAAAAAAATAAAAAAAAAGAGACCCATTCCTTCCTCCCGTGATATTACGCGCCGTTAAAAGAGTGTGTTGTTTTTATTCGTGAGAATCATTGTGCCTGATAACTACTGAATCAGCTTCCGATCGCTCAATGAATTACTAAAGACAAGAAGGGGGTGCTAACCGTCTATCTGAAGCAGTTGAAACCGCAGCAGCTAAATCTAGCGTTGGGCCTGACACCGTGCCTGTTGGCAGAGAAACCGAGCCCGAAACGACGGCCGCCGGTAGCTTTTGAGTATGTGAATGGCATTGTGATAGTAGTTTTGTTTGGTGGTAGTAGTAGTCTTTGAACTGTCAGTCGATGTCCTAAATCAAAAGAGTAGAGGAGGTGAATTTACAGTTTATGTTTAGTATTCGAGTTATCGTCTGTCTGATGGAGATCACAAAGAAAACCAGTGCCAAAAGCTTAATACTTATATACTTTTTGCCCCTCCCCTTTGTATTTCTTCCACCGCGCCCTGGTTGGTGCCAGCGCCCTTGCTTTTCTTTCAGGGAACAAAAAAAGCCAGGAAATCCCTACTATGGAACTCTGGGCGTACGACTTTACAGGCTCTCAGCAGCTCTCTCGTCATAGCGTGTTACGAATGACATCACAGTCGCCACACTGCGGCTGTGCTCGTGGCGCAGCGGATGGTTACTACCAAGAGATTGAATTTGGCCGAAGGGTCTTGGCTGTGGAGGGGGTATTTGAGGAGATCTTCGTGGTTTTCTTTCACGCTTGAACTTTTCGCATCTCTCAACCTCTTTTCTCAATCACCAAGTTTGCGCCGTGATAACTAACAACGACAAATAGTGAACAGTCGCTGACAGAATGGTATGTGATTTCAATTCTTCTCTTCTCGCACTTGCTGCACAATGCCCCATAAACATCTTATGATGATTACCAAAACACAATGCATAGTTCAACTGAGGTCTACTAGCCAATGTTGATAAAATAAGCCATCGTCTTTCGCTCCTATCTGATCCTTCCTCTTCTCTAATCACTTCACAATCTCGCACACTGTCTCATGCGAATGAAAGCTAACATTGCGCGAAAAGATTTCTAGGTTTTATCGCACATGAGATGAGATGAGGGGTCGTCATCATCATCATCCTCACGTGGCTCTGGGGAAGTTTGGGCCCGCCCTGTCTCGAACACGAGGAAGCGGAGAACCTTCCACTGCGGAGATTTCAATTTTCCCCGCAAGCGGCAGATCTCCATTCCTTCGTTGGTAAAGAGGGGCTTGTTTCTAGAAATAATAATAAAAAAATTTAATATCCACAATGTTTTTTTCAACCCGCGTGAGTTCGTGCATAACAGTGAATTTCACGAGCCAAACCTGAAGATCTACAGTCGAGAATGAATGTCTCTCATTCTGCGGGGTTACTCTTTACTTACCCCACGTCTCGTGCCTCGCTCGATCACATCCTTTTGATGATATGACCTTGAGCTGGATTACCCTTGTGCCTTGCGCTCATGTGGTTCAAGTAGACAAGACTGAAATTTCGTTGCTTTTTGAGTACGGCTCTGCTAGGAAATCTCCATAGATGGTGGGGTCGTAATTGTCGACGAGATATCTCAAAATCTCCCTCTCTCCTTATTTCCTTGCAGATATGAGGCTGCTACATATTTGTATCTAGAAAATAAATCCTCTGTGTGGGGGAAAAAACAAAAATACATATGCAGGGATCGCGCTCAACGGTGACGGAGGTGAAATGATCGTAGAACCTAGATCTGCCTGTAACACAGAAACAGAATACCCGAACAAACCCGTTCGTTCGTTCGTTCATCCGTCAACTCAACCCCGTCGCCTCCATCATGATGGCCATGCGGGAAGTGCGGGAGAGTCCTGGATCCTGTTCAGAGAGCTAGAGAGATGGGGTGTCCCAATCAAACCGGATCTCATCTGGGCGAGTAAAACCCGGAAACGAGATCTTCCTCTTCCTCCAGCCACTCACTTGATCAGCTTTGTAGATAGAGATGTTACGAGTTTCTATCGAGCAAAAAACCATACTCGCCCCGGTACTAGTAATCATCATTCCAGGCCATCTACCAGGGTGTAGACAGCTGATTAGGCTGACCCTCCCCCCGTTTGCTCGATAGAAACTCGTAAGCTCCCGCCTGTCTCTGATAACCGAACTGTAGGTGCTCTCCCCTGTACCTCCGTCGGGAGCCAAGGGTACGTCTAGGGATTCTGGGGAGACCGGCCATCAGGGTTCCCTATTTCTTACTTGATCAAAAGTCCTAACTGGACGTAGATAGAGATAAGCCTCAATCGAGGCATGGGGGTTGGGTGATAAGCTGGAGTTAGATAGAGTAGCTAGTCTAGTTACAGAGTAGACTTAGTCTTGTCTTGTCTCGTCTGGTCTTGTTTCGTCTCGCAGTTAGGGCTAGGTAGAGTAGAGTAGAGTAGAGTAGAGGAGCACGAGACAACAACAGCTTTCCCCATGACAGCTCTACAGACAGCTTATCGTGTCGTGTCGCGTGGAACGGGTGTGCCTAGGAGATTAGTTTAGTTTTGGGCGTGGGCAGTGGGAGTAAGCGATGCTAGCTAGGTAGATAGATGGATCCTCCGGGCTATTATCTTTGTAGTTATCTAGGCTGCGCTCCCCGGGTGGTGCAGTGTATCGATATCTACATCCTAGAGCTCCTCGAGTACGGTACGGAGTTTTCTGGCTGGGGGCAGCTTTGTTTTTCCTTTTAATTTTCTTTTTCTTCCTACATTAGAGTATTTGCCTCCACGAGCTTGCATCGGCGGATCACTGTTTTGTTTCTCATAGGTCTGCAGCAAACTAAGTACCCCAGGAAAACAGGACCGCTTCAGTAGTAGTAGATCTTGGTACTTTCTTAGCAGGTATGATGGGATGCATAGCATAGCATTGCATAGCAATCTATCTTTTTTTTTTTTCTTTCACTTTCCACCCTTCGAGATTGGAGTATGGTACTAGCCGGTATATAAGTAGTTGGCCCACTCCCTCCCCCGCGATGACATCTCCATCCTCATCATCCTCATCCTCCTCCCCACCACCACCACCACCCTCTTCGACGTCTCGCGCACTAGAGGGAGAACCATTGCTCGGGTATAGACGACCACACACGATGAGCGCAAAGACAAGACTGGGAAGGCTTGTGAGGAGGCTGGAGACGAAGCATGAGGAGGGATTGACGAATGCGCAGTTGATGTTGACGAATGATGATTTGAAGCCTGGTAGGAATTCCTTTTCTTTTTTGATTTCTCGTATTGCAACTACCTACCTTATTGGCCTTGCGTTGCGGATATGACTCGGGGTGGGCTGTTATTTCTTTTGGATTGGTTGATTAGTGGTTCGTGGTGGATGGTGGTGGTGGTGATGTTATCTAT